AGGGAATGTGCTCCACCCTCTGTCAGTGGCTCCAGGATCTGCCTCCTGCCCATACCTGCCCTGCACCAGGGGACAGGGCTGGCATTCCCTGTGCCAAGCCTGGTCAGGCACCAGCTCACCTCAGGCTGGGCCAATCTGAGTCCCAACAGCAGCTGCTTTTCCCTCAGGGGCTGCCCAGCCCTTCCCAACCCTTTCACAAATCTCACAGACCACAGGACCCCCCCCATAACTCCTCTGCTCCCACTGAAGCCAATCAATCCCTTGTTCCTGCCACTCCTGTCCTACCTTCTCCCCTGTAACTCCTCCCCTCTTACCCATGGCAGCTTGGTTTCTTCTTTCCAAGCCTTTAGAGGAGACCAGCCCATCAGCATCCCCAGTCCCTGCCTCATTCCAGGCCTGGCAGCAGGACTGTGGTCCAGCCCATTGACCACAGAGTGTCATGTCTATGCCACTATTTACTCAAAGGAGACTTTCAAAAATCCTGGATGCAAAAATTATGAGAGTTGGGAAGCCTGCACAGTAGCTGTGGTAATATTTTGCAGCTTAAAAGAAATGGGGGGGGAAAAAAAAAAAAAAAAAAAAGGAAACAAAAGTGGGAGAACAATTTTGGCTTTGCCATGGCATGGTCTGCAATTCTACCCTGCTGGAAGGTGCTGCATCTCCTGCAGCTCTGTCTCCTTCAGAGCAATGTTACATGGAATATTTAACAGTGTCTTTAAAAAAAAACCAACCCAAAACATCATGAGTCACAAATACTACACGATCCCAGGCAGGGCCATTTGCATTGGAAATGGACCTTTTGGATGAACTTCAGCACTTACCCAGGGAGGTAGTAGGGGTTTCTGGGGAAGATGTTGTTCCCCCTGGAGGCTGCCATGGTGATGTTACTTCTGGTGGTGGTGGAAGGGGGGAAGGAGACGCAGCCCCACGTGGTCTCCAGGGGTACCTCTGTGATGTCAGCACCTGACAGAGCTCCATCTGCAGCACAGAACTCCTCAGGTTCTCCTGGACACAGCTCTTTGTTCCCCCATCCAGGCACAGGCTCAGGGACTCAGGGGAAGGCTCAACCCTCCTCTCCCCGCTCCTCGCTGCCACAGCTTCTCTGCCCAACCTGTGCCAGGGCCTGCCCAACCTCACAGGGGACAATTTATTCCCAATATCTGATCTAAACCTGCCCCCACCACCACCTCCCCCTGCAAAAAAGTCCCCTCCAGCTTTCCTGGCTTTCCACAGCAACTGTGCCCAGAATGTCCCCAAGCCAAAGATCCCCCCATGCCTGTTTGGCACCAGCATCGTTTCCACCAACCCCAGTGCCAGTCACCAGCCTCATTCACTGCCAAAGTCCCCCCTGGCCTTGGAGAGCTTGGCCATGTGGCTGCAGAATCACCTGAAGGTTTCAAAGCTGCTTACCAGAAACCACAGAATCATTAAATCATAGAACCAGTGAACAGTTTGGGCTGGAAGGGACCTTTAAAGCCCATCCAGTCCAACCCCCCTGCAGTGAGCACAGACACCTTCCACTGGATCAGGGTGCTCAGTCTTGTCCAACTTGACCTTGAAGACTTCCAGGGATGGGGAATCTGCCACCTCTTGAATATCTGAGGGTTGTTCTCACCTGTTAGGTGCCTCAATTCCCCCCAAATTGTATCTGAAGGTATAAAAATTCTGCTTGACTCTTGTCCTTGGTGCCTAAACTGAGAGATCTGGTATTTCCAGCCTTTATAAAATGCATTGGAATTTGCCCAAGTACCTGAGCTCTGATCAGCAGATGTGAGCCCCGCAGGGTGGATGGGTGTGCCAGGGGTAGGATGGCTCTTCTCAGAGGTGCACAGTGGAAGACCAAGAGGGAACAGGCACAAAACACAAGGGGAAGGCCCAGCAGACACAAGGAAAAATTCTCCTCTGTGGGCACAGAACAGCCCTGGGACAGGGTCAGGGGAGGGGGTGGCATCTCCAGCCTTGGAGATCTCCAAAGCCTGGATGGGTCAGGCCCAGAGCACCCCAAGGGAGCTTTGAAATTAGCTCAGCTTTTAGTGGACAGGTTGATAAAGGGACTTACAAAGCCTAAAGCATCTGATTTTAACACTAAGATGAAAAGTTGCTTGCTGAAATGCAGCACCAACCAACAACCCCAGAGCACTCCAGGTCCCACCTGCCCGAGGGGCCTTGGGCTGGCACCTTTCCAGCATTTCCAGGAACTCCCTCAAAGCTCATTTCTTTGGATGGTCAGGGGCTGCTCCCTGCAAATCTGGGGGTCACACACTTACCAGAGAGCTCCTGAGCAATCACACCAAAATACCAGTGCTCAGGGCAGACACCTGGGTAAAAAAAAGAAGTAGAAATTCACTTTTGTCAAGGTTATCATTAGAATTTATTGATATGAGAGAAACTTGGTATGTCAACATGTCACTGGAGGAACAGCACATCCCGATGGAGCAGGAGCACAGAGCCTGTCTGGTGACTTCACAGCACAGGGGACCACGTACAGGGCTGTGTGGTACTGGGGGACATTTTCTGGGGACAGGACAGAAACACTCCAGAGATACCACGGCTGAGTGGTTTGCCAGGTGCCCGACAGGCTGCAGCAACTCCAGCTCCCACCACCCAGCTCTGGAGAGGGGGCACACACAGGGCATGGCAGCTCCCCTCCACTCCCAGGGGAAACAACTGGGGCTCAGCTTCACCTGGGCAGGGAAGAGGAGATGCCTTGGGCCTTCCAGCTGCTCAGAGGAGCAGCTCAGATGGGGACACCCCACACAGCCAGGACAGGACACCCCGGGCACGGCCCCTCCCGGGCTGGGAAACTTCCCAAGGGAGTCTGATGTGCTCAGGGAGCAGACACAGCCATGCCACGCTCCAGCCTGGAATCTGCCAATTCAGAGGCAGGGTTTTCTCTCTCCACACAATTATCCCTGTGTTGTAACTGTTCAGACATTGCCTCCTCTCAGCAGTGCCCTCTCTCAGAGCTCTCAGCACAGACAGCCAGGCATCTGTGCTTGTGGCTAAGATAAAAATTATCTTTTTAATCTTTACTGGAAATATATGCTATGCTGGATGCTGCTTTAAAAAACAAACAAACAAACAAACCCAAAAAACCAAAAAGCCAAGTGCTGAGCTTTCATCTTCTCCCAGCTTATGAAATGTTTAGTTTGGTCCTAAGTATCTCGCTAAACGGTTAAAGAGGGAATAGCAGAGCATTCCCCAGGCACCTGGTAAATCCACAATGGATTTATTGTAGAAACACACTGAACTCTCTAACTCACTCCAAATGGATTTCAGAGCCCTCTAAAACCCTCCAGAGAACGAGCTGTTTGTGGCACCACACACAAACCAACCCCAAGTTCAATGAGGAACCGGCCCCGCGCTGCGCGGGGAGCACCCGAAACACGGGACAGACCCCCCTGGGGGGATGTGCCAGCCCAGCTCCCGGGGGCAGGGGACAGTGACAGAGCCTGGCCGAGCTGCCCCTGCCCAGCTGATGCCATGAACCCGCTGCAGAGCTGGGGAGGAACCCCTGACATCGGGCACGCCCCGTGTGCCGCTCCCGCCCCTCCCCCGTGAGCTGTGACAAGTGACAAAGAGGGCTCTGCTCTCAGCCACCCCGGTTTCACCAAATCTGAGTTCCCTCTCACACGTAACAGCATTGACTTAGAGATCTCATATTGATGGGTAATTATACAGGATTAATTGCACATCAGTCCATTGTGGCTACAAGTTCATTAGGTTAATAAATCTACATAGTGACAGTAGTACAGTATCAGCTACTTCTCAATACAAACTCCCTACCTAGCCTTAATTTGTAGGTCAGGGGAAGATCTTCTACCGCAGGGACCTTCCCGTGACCCTTTAAACATTCATTTTCAAAATTATTTTTTTTTCTAGAAAAAAAAAAAAAAATCCAGTGTGGGGAAAAACGCACATATATAACCAAAGCAGTGCTTAACAACCACAGGAAAACAGAACATCATCTTGGACTCTTGTTTCAGCATCCTCTGTAGACCCTGGCAGTGTCTACAATCCCAAAGGGTTGCTAAAATGCTCCGTCAGTTCCCGAGTCCGTTAAACCATTTCCCAGCTCCAGACGTTTCCGGCCTCTCACTGCCGTGTGCAGTGAGAGCACACAGAAACACTTGCTAATGTGCACAAGACTTCCATCTGATTTAATGGAATAGCTCTAGAAGGCTCGAGTCTTTCCTTCCAGAAACCTGTTCTCCAGTGGCTCTCGCCGACCGGCGCCTTCTCTTCCAGCCAGGAGAGAGCTCCAAGTCCCTCCGAGTTTTACTCATTCCTTTCGCCTGAAGTATCCAATAAAACCCCCTCTCACAGTATTCCCAGGAAATGATTCAGAAGAGGAGATGATTTTTCAACCAAATGAGATCCTCTGGTCCTGTGTGTCAGACCATGGCCAATAGAACGAGCAGCTGCCATGGACGTCTCAACTTAAATAGGGCCCAGTCGGGGAGGGGAGCGAGGTGGCCTGGCCATCTGCTGTGAGCAACAGGCAAAGAGACCCCAAAAGTCACTCTGTTCTCGACAGTTTGCCTCTCTTTCCGGAGTCAAATGTTTGATTCCAATTGTTCTAGCAGGAAGTGGTGGATCATGTCAAAAGTGGGACGATCTTTGATATCCCTGCTCCAGCACTTCAGCATCAGGTCGAACACAGGGTTAGGGCACAGAGGAGTCTGGGAGAGATAGATCTGAAAGGAAGAGAGAGCCACAGCTATTTCAGTGGGATCTGCACGGAACAACTGAGCCTTTGCTAAAGTAACACCAAAGGACAGTCCCATTGCAGGTTTACAAGACACAGCCACCATGCAGGGAGTGACATCCAGTCAGCCTGAGCCTGGCAGTGGAGTCCGGACTGAGCCCCGACACCACCTCAAACAGCACCACGGACACTCTGCCAACTCGTCTGATGAGCTGGTCACAAAACAGGCCTTTGTCTCCCAGAAAGCATGAATGCTTCAGAGGGATTCGTCTTCCAAGAGACAGCGAGAAAACACAAACCAAAACCAAATTTACCACAGTAAAATCCAAATACTTTCAACTCACCGTAGACAACCCATGAGGCTTTCTAAGCATCGTGACAGCTTGTTAGCAGAGACAGAGAAAACACCTTTTAGAGCTTTTCTACAGCACAGCTTGGCAGAATGATTTTATTTCCCCCTCTCATTTTTTAGGCTCACATCTTTTAGGCTCTTGATTAATTGGGAGACAGTGATTCACCACCCCCTAAATTTTATTTCCCTTATTTCTCCGGTGCTGAAGGTGATTTCTGGGAGAACAGTGAACTGTTCTGAACTGGCACCCCACAGTTTTGGATACTGAGGAGCTGGAGTGTCCTGCAGCAGCACTGGGGTGCACAGTCCTGGGAGTGACTGAGAGGGGACAGAACAACACAGGGAAGCCCTTCAGCAACTGGAGATGGCCAAAGGCCTCCTGAATTATGTGGAGATACCACAGGGAATATCTAATCCGTGGGGAGCTACAAATCCTCCTTCCCCACCTCCCTAAGTGCTTCCTCATCTTTCAGAGGCGCTGCTGGGGGGAGAGAGCTGACAAAGGAATTGTGTAGGAGAGCCTGGAAAAGCCAAGGACAGGGCAGAGTGAAGTGTAATAATGAGAAAGAAGCACTGGACAGGGCCAAAGGATTCTTCCAGTGGGACTCCAAGAGAGGGAATTTGGTGCAATAAGCCCAGATAAAGGGGAGGAGAGGCAGGACACAGGTGAGAAGTTGAGCAGTAGCAGCAGAGAGTCCTGCAGATGAGGTTAAGACCAGCAGAGAGGCCCTGGGAACATCCAGCTGGATGGGACCAGCTCCAGGGAAGGAAGGAAGGAAGGAAGGAAGGAGCTGTGTTTGCCTCCTCACCTGCCTGCCCTGGCTCCTGAAGAACTCCCCCGTGTTCTCGATGACCTGCTCATCCGAGAGGAGGCTGTAGGGCTGCTCCTTGCACAGCACAAACATCTCCCACAGGGTCACCCCAAAGGCCCACACGTCGCTGGCCGTGGTGAACTTGCCCTGTGGACAGAAAAAGCATCTTGTAAGCCCAGGGTTGTTTCACAGCCCCCCTTCAGCAAAACCCCTTTCAGTCTGCACCCCCTGCAGCTGAATCCACAGCTGGGAAAGTGCTCCCAGCAGAGCAGGGGAGCTGCTCTGAGCCACACACAGAGGGGCCAAGGCAGGGCATGGCAGTTTGTGGGGCAGGAGCAGTCGTGGCACCCCCGGGACAGCTCCAAGAAAGTGCAGTGTTCACTGGGGCAAACCTGCTGTAACAGGGAGCAGGTCCCAGAGAGAGCCAGAGACTTGTGACCCTCCTGAGACAGAGTGTTTGCAGCAGAAAATGAACTGAGGGGGTGGACAGTCACTGTCTACCTGCACCTGAAACAGCTGAGAACAGAGAAAAGCCTCTGAAAGGGAAAGCAAAGCCCTGGGGGGTAAAATCAGAGCTGGAGCAGACTCCAGACTCTCAGAGAAAACCCCGAGATCATTTTGGTGTTTGCACATTAAGAAGCCAGCGTGACAGTGTGCTTGCTGTCCCTGTTTTGTGTCTTCCAAAAATGTGCCCAAACTGGCTGTGTTTGGAACGACGTGTTTGTGGAGAAAAAAAGACTGCTCAGAAAATAACACAGAACACTTGGGGGGCTGGAGGGCCTGTTTGGGCTGAAAACACCCAAGCCCTGCAGTAGCCAGGCTTTATCTGGCAACCCCTGCAGCCTGGCAAGGTTTGGAAGATCTTCACACAAGGAAGATGGGAGTGACTTCTGGTTGGGATGCAGCTGTAACCAGGAATAGAAGGTGAATTTAGGAAAGCCTAGGCCTGGTAGCCTTTATAGCAGAGGGAACTACAAATTTTCCGGGTACCTGGAGAGCATGTTGTAAAAAAAAAATAAAAATAAATAAATAAAATAAAAATGCAACCAAGTGATCTCATCAACCACTCTGAGAAAGAAATACAGGGCTGAATATTAAGGAAGTGCCTCCAGGCTGGGTGTGGAACAGTCTCCTGAGGGAAGACAGCAGGACCCTTAAACACAAAACCAAACCCCAGCTCAAAACCAGACCTGGCTCTTAAAACTCAGCAAGTTTTGTCCCTGGCCCTCAGAGCTTCCCAGCTGGGAAAATAAGCACAAGAAGGCAACTTCCCTACAATTCCAGCAGGAATCCTGAAGGGCAGGCACAGAACAGAATGATGGCTGAGAACAGATGAGGGCTGAGGGCAGGGATGCCACCCAGAGGGACATGGACAAGATCAAGTGGGCCCATGGGGACAATGGTTTAACAAGGCCAAGTGCTGGTGCTGCCCCTGGGTCAGGGCAGCCCTGGGATCAATCCAGGCTGGGGATGAGCAGATGGAGCAGCCCTGGGGGAAGGACTTGGAGGGGCTGGTGGGGCAGAGGCTGAACATGACCCAGCCCAGAAACCCCCCATGCCCTGGGCTGATCCCCCAGCGTGGGCAGCAGGACAGGGGGGATTCTGCCCCTCTGCCCCCTCAGGTGAGACCCCCCTGCAGAGCTGCCCCAGCCCTGGGAACAGCACAGGGAGCACATGGAGCTGCTGCAGAGAGGCCAGAGGAGGCCCTGGAGATGCTGCCAGGGCTGGAGCCCCTCTGCTCAGGAGCCAGGGTGGGAGAGCTGGGGGGGTTCACTGGAGAAGAGAAGGATCCAGGGATACCTGAGAGCCCCTTCCAGGGCCTAAAGGGGCTCCAGGAGAGCTGGAGAGGGACTGGGGACAAGGGATGGGGGGACAGGACACAGGGAATGGCTTCCCACTGAGAGAGGGCAGGGTTAGATGGGATATTGAGAAGAAATTTTTCCCTGGGAGGGCGGGCAGGCCCTGGCACAGGTTGCCCAGAGAAGCTGTGGCTGCCCCTGGATCCCTGGAAGTGTCCAAGGCCAGGCTGGAGCAACCTGGGCTAGTGGAAGGTGTCCCTGCCCATGGCAGGGGGTTGGACTGGATGACCTCCAAAGGTCCCTTCCAACTCGAACCATTCCATGCTCTGTGCTGTATCTGCAAGGACTCACTCCTTTCCCAGGACATGAGTTATGTCCAACACAACCCAGTGCACTCCTCACCTGGGGCCATCTCCAGCACACACAGGGGTGCTGCCAGGACTGGCACACAGACAGGTGGTCACTGCTTCAGGGGCACACTGCAAATCAGAGGAAGGAATAAAGGCAGGCTTTGTGCAGCCCCTACCAGGAGGATGCTTTCCCAGGCCATCCAGCGAATGGGCAGCACAGCTCTCCCCTGGATCCTGTAGTAATCCCCACTGTAGAGGTTCCTGCTCATGCCAAAGTCTGCGATCTTGATGGTGTAGTTGTTCCCCACCAGGCAGTTGCGAGTTGCCAGATCCCTGTGCACAAAGTTCAGGGATGCCAAGTACTTCATGCCAGAGGCGATCTGGGTGGCCATGTACAGCAGGTTGGAGTGGCTGCACGGAAGGAAAGCAGAACAGAAGGAAAAAAAAAAAAAATCAACAGAGTTCCCCACAGTCAAGTCTTCCTGGCACTTCATGTGCTACAGTGACCTTGTCACTTTATTTTCTGCCATAACAGTGGAACTGAACTGTCTCATTTCAGGGCACAAACAGCCTCCCCTGCCAGACTAAGTCTCCTGAGCTGACTAAGCAGGAACAGACAAGCTGTCCCTGAAATTCAGGCCCTCAGAATCTGACATCCTTTAGATTTTTTTTTTTTCAATATCAAACGTTAATCTCGAGATTTTCAAAGAGTTCGTGCATCAAAGCACCAACTTTTTGCACAGAGACATGAAAAATTAGGCTGTACAATCTCAGAATCTCATATCTTATGAACCACTTAGTCTGGTATTTCAAACACCACCACTACTGCGTGCTTGTATTAACATAAGTACGTCACTCCACATGAAAGAGAGCCTTACTATTTTTAAAAAATATGTTAGACTTCACTGAAAATAAAAACAGATGCATTTTCCATCTAATTTAATTTTAATTCCCCCATTAGCAAAATGAAGATAGCATTAATGAAGTTACATGCTACTCAGACAGAGTTTGGACCATCAGACTCTCAGCATTCTCCACACACCACTGCTCTGTTTCCCACTGTGCATCTCGAATGCTTCACAGGACCAAGTGCCCATCAGAGCACATCTGGTAAACTGTTCACAGCATTTTTCTGATAAGGGTCAGAATAAGAAAGACTTATTTTCCTTCTCTTTGTGTCCTGACAATCACAGAATCACAGAATGGTTTGGATTGGAGAGGACCTTAAAGGTCATCTTGTTCCACCCCCTGCCATGAGCAAGGACACCTTCCACTAGCCCAGGTCGCTCCAAGCCCCGTCCAACATGCCCTTGGACACTTCCAGGGATGGGGCAGCCACAGCTTCTCTGCCCAACCTGTGCCAGGGCCTGCCCACCCTCACAGGGAACAATTTCTTCCTCACATCTCATTTTAAACTACCCCCTTTTTAATTTTAAAACCACTGTCCCTTGTCCTGTTGTTATCTGTCCCTGGAACAAGTCCCTCTTCCTCCCCTTTAAAAGCCCCCTTAAGGTACAACGAGGAAAGCACTACCATGTTATCTGAATGACAGCACTGCAATGTATCCAACAATGACAGATGCACTCAATCTACCCCAAGCAGCAGCTGAGCTGTCGCTGGGGTGATCCAGAGGCAGCCCCTCAGCCCAGCACAGCCCTGCCAGGATGGTCAAGGCACCACCTCCCAGTGTGTGACACCACAGCCCAGCTGGGTGACCCCTGGGCCAGCCCCACAGTCAGCTCCACGCTGCTGCTCCTGATCAGGGTGGGCCTGTTGAGGCCCCAGAGAAGGAACTTGGCCACCCACCCGTCCCCTGGCTGTTGGTTTGTGGCACAGCCTGCAAGATCCCCCCTTCAGCTCTGTGTCTCTGCTGCTCTTCCCATCTGAGCAGCCCTGTCTTTCCTGTCCCCCCTGCAGCCTGGCAGGGTCCCATCAGCAGCTTCCTCCTGGCTCCTGCCCCGCTGCCCAGCCAGCTCTGCAGGGTCCACACGAGGGGCTCCACAGGCAGAGGGACAGGATGGGACACACTTCTTGTCCTGCCTTGGGGCCAACACCCCGAAGGCAGAACAGCAGACCTGCCTTTGGAAGAGCAGCAAAGCTGGTGGAGAAGCAGCTGAGAGGGCTCAGCCTGGAGAAAAGAAGGCTCAGAGAGGACCTTCTCACTCTCAATAACTCCCTGGAGGTTGGAGAGGTGGGGGGTCAGGCTCTTCTCCCAGTGGTAGGACAGCAAATGGCCTCAACTTCCATCAGGGGAGGTTTAGGTTGAATATCAGGGAAAATTTCTTCACTGAAAGGGTTGTCCAGACCTGGCAACAGGTTGCCCAGGGCAATGGTGGGAGTTCCCATCCCTGGAGGGATTTAAAAGCCACATGGATGTGGGACTTGGGGACCCAGTTTAGTGGTGGCCTTGGCAGTGCTGGGGGTACAGTTGGGCTCGATTATCCTGGAGGGCTTTTCCAGCCTAAAGGATCAGACAGGCAGAGGGACAGCAGGGGGATGCATTTCAAGCACTAAAGAGCCAGAAAGACTTGAGAATGTTGTGACTCTCTGCAGGAAAGGGCTGGCCACCACATTTGATGCACCAAATACTGGGTTTGAGAGATGAGTGGGATGGCTGGACCTTGTCACATCTGTGAGACACCCCCAGGCATCAGCAGAGCCAAGCAGTTCTCTTTGGCAGGGGGATTCATGTCACTCTCAGTAAACAACCCCAGCCACCTGAGCCAGTCTGCTGCCTATAATGTGACACTGTGTCTGGCTGGAGGGACAAAAGAGGCTGAAGGATCAGCAGGAGAGAATGAAAAACTAGAGGTTCCAAGTAATGGAAACCAAGGAAGAACAATGTGAGTGACAGTGCTGAAGTCAGATGAGAAGTGAAGAAGAGATAAAGAAGAAAGAACATTTTGAGGCTTTGGCCAGGGAAAAAAGCCACAAGTCTAAAGGTGAGTGATGTTTCTGATGTACAGGAAAGGCAGGAGACTGGAGAGAGCTAGAATATGTCTCTAGTCAGAGGCAAATCCTCTCATCCTGCAGCTCCTGCTGTGTCCTGACTGCAGGATGCCAGGTTAGCACTCCCAACAGGACCACTGACAGGTCCTGGCAGCAACTGTGGTTGCCTGGACATGGTAAAACCCAGTCTTGTTCTGTCCAGCTCCTCAGAAACTGGCTCTGCCCGACTGCCTCGTGCTTGAACCACAAATCCATCCAATCCTTTGGGGAGAACAGAAAGGCTCAGCAGTGCCACAGCTCCTGAGCAGTGCAGGGTTCTTTATCAAGGCAGAACACGTTAGTCCTGCACACAACTCTCCTCTGAGGAAAGGATTTCTGCAATAGCAGGGATGCTTTTATGTCAGATTTAATCCTGCCATTGAGGAGGGAGACAAATGCCACCACTGACAGAAAATGGTTTTCTTTGCCAAATATTCTCCTTCTGTAGGCTGATGAAATCTTTTCCTTAGTGAAGCTCTACACTCAGCAATATTTATGAGACATCCAGAGAACATATGAACCTTCTTAAAACCTTAAGAGACATTCTTGATTTTCATCCCAAAATTCCTGCTTCTCATATTAATGAAATACTCGATGCAAGCCCTGTAACATACACAGATGGCCACATCAATAAACAACACATCAAGATGGTCACAGCCCACAGTCAGGGACACTTCAGGGGAACACAGACTTCCAGGGGCCTCAAGAACAGCCCCCCACACAAAGCAGGACTAGTGTCCTGCTAGTCCTGACCATTGAAGGTCCCTGCCTGGAAGGCACAGCAGATGAAACTGGCAGCTCTCTGTTGTTATTCATCCCCAAACTGGCAGTTCCTCCTACCTGACACAGGGAATATTGTTTGAAATGGCAAATTTGCTGTAGATCTCCCTCTGTGACAGGAACTGGTTGAGGTCCCCGTTCTCCATGTACTCTGTAATCATGCACAGGGGGTCATCACGCACACACACCCCCAGCAGCCGGATGATGTTGGGGTTCTTCAGCCGTGACATGATCTTGATCTCCTTCAGGAAATCGTTCCTGGTAAAACAGAAAACATGTCTGGATCCTAAACTATTCCCCTGTCTCAAGAAAGCACAAAGGGCATGTGAGAACATCTCAGTTCAGAGTCAGGATTAATACAGCATTTCAGGTTGACACTACACCTATCCCTATCCCCCACTCCCTGCCGTGTCCTGTTCCTTCATGAACACATGGAACATGCACCAGAGACACATGACACTTACACAAGTGCCCCATGTGAAGCTGCTGCTTGGAGAGTATTTGCTTTCCTGCCCAGCTGGTTGGTGCTGCAGGTGCACTTACCTGGCTGTTTTGTTGACATCTGATCTCAGCATCTTCACTGCTACGAGAACTGGCTGGTGAGTGAATTCTGAGGACGAGACTCCCAGGAATTCCAGCAGGCCATCAGCTTCACAAAGGTGCACCTGCAGGGCAGAGGCAAACATAAAAGCATGAACAGGTAGAAAACCAGAGGAAAACAACATCGCTGGTTTGGTCACTGCTGGCAGAATGACCAAGTGAATGATCTAGTGAAGGTGACAGTTCTGATCAGAAATAACCCCTGGGTTGGCCCTAGATCCTGGACAAAACATTCCATACACTACAGGGCCCATGGTATAGGAATGCACAGGGCTTGCAGCCAGATGTGTCTCCAACACACTGAATCCTGTGTTTCTTCCCAAGAATTCTTTACAGAATCTGTGAGTCTGCACAGTCTCAGCCTGGTGCAGCAGCTTCCTGGGGCCATCCAGTTCACCCAGTACAGACTGGAGGTGTTCAGAAAGGCCCCTGAGCCTGCAGGGGTCTGCTCTGCACGTGCAGGCAAAGAGCACAACTGCAGCAGGGCTGGCAGGGACAGCACCTCACACCAGCCAAGGAGCCCTGAACTGTCCTGCAGCCTGGCCTGAGTCACTGCTCAGACTTAACTCAGGAGCATCCAGAAACTACAGCCAGTTATCCAAAGTCCTCTAATTCCAGTGGAAAAAAAAAAAAAGGAGAAAAATGTGTTTGTGTGTGTCTGTGATGCAAACACCTCACCTGTGCATTGATGAACACTCTGATGACAGAATTCCAAATTACTTCTGATAAACTAACAAAGACAAAATTACAGCCAGGGTTGTACAGGAAGGGGTGACTGCTTAAGAAGTCACCAGAATGGGTATCCAAATGGAGACCTGGGTGGAGGAAGCAGCCAGACCTGACTGTGTAGAGAGAACAAGGACTGGAGGTGGGGGAGCAGACTGGATGTGTCAGTCAGATCTGCAGCACTGAGGGGAATGTAATGGGAGCACGATGAATTTTGTATGAAAAAAAGCAGCAAGAACTTCAGTGACAAACATGGTGAGGGGAAAAACGAGACAGCACAGAAAATGGGACAAACATGCAGAACAGGAAGAGAAGTACAAAGGTGCTGCTGCAATTCCACAGGGAATGAATCTGCTGAGGTGAAAGTACAGTCACTAGACCTGGAACAGGGAGCAGAGCCACGGGATCAAGCACAAGTACTCCAAGTGCAGGTAATGTGTCACTGAGTCCAGGGTGGGGATGGTTAGGAACGAGGAAGAAAAAAAAAGACTGAAAGGTAAGGAAGCTTTGAGTGGAGAGGTGAAAGCAGCAATGAGCCACATTTCTAGAAGCAAGGCTGCACACTGAGCAGAGCAGTGCAGCAGAGCACAGGGGCATCAGACTGGCAAAGACTAAGGAGGTGAGGAGGAGAGATGAGAGAATGTGGGGGCAGCAAGTTTGCAAAGGTGAGGGAAAGAGCCTGTGACGTGAGGAAAGGAACAGGCTCTGAATCCACCCCCAGGGGAAATGGAGATGGGAGAGCCATCTCCCACCAACACAAAGGAGGAGTTCTTACAGTTACCAGAAAGACAGGGATGAGAGGAAAGGAGAAACCAGAAGCAAAACAATGAGAAAAGAACCCTCTCTTGTCCCAGCTTTTGGAGCACAGCCCAAGGCAGGGCAGGATCCAGGTAGCAGCAGAAGGGGCTACACTGACAGCCAGGTGAAGAAGCTGAGGATGTCAGAACCTTCCCAGCACACAGACTGAGCCTGGAAGAAGTGAGGGGACAGGGAAGGGGCTGGGACAGGGGAGGTGTGGTGTCAGAAGGGAGGAAGCAGCCAGTAAAGGGCTGTGCTTGCCAAAATGTAGCTGACAGGTAGAATTAAGGCTGTGAATGACCAAAAACTGGGAAGAAAAAAAATGACACTGGAAGAGTGAGAGCAGGAGAGGGGAAGAGCTGCTCAGATTGGAACTAGGAATGGTGTGGGAATGAAGAAGGGAGAGAAGAAAAGGCAGGGTGACAACATTCACAGCCTGAAAGGAGCTCAAAGAGCAAAGGGAAATCTTGGTGGATGACAGATGTGTGCATCACAGTGCCTGAGGCTGCTGACAAACTGGGGCTTGAGCAGCAGCAACGCTGGAGAATGAGGGCACCACAGTGCTTGGGAATGCCTGGCTTTGCTTGGGTCAGTGTGCAGAGCACCCCCAGAACCTTCATCTGGGAATGGGAAAGCTGTTTTTACAACTAGGATCCATCTTAGCTAAACTCTCTAGAGAGTTTTCAAACTCACATGCCTAAAGGTGGGTGACAGCCATCACATTTGAGATGCCCATGAAGCTGAATTCCCACCTCCAGGCCTTTTCCATAAGGTCATTAATAGGGATATAAACAGTAAAACAGAAAAGTTTGCAAAGTTCATCTGCTGGGAAAGGCTCCTGTGGTACCAAGCACAGGCTCACAGCTGCAGAACAAGGCTCTGTGGCCCAGCCTAGGGGGGCAAACATATATTGACTAAAATTATAGATTCATAGAATGTTAAGGGGTTGGGATGGACATTAAAGCTCATCTAGTCCCAACACCCGCCCAGAATGGGCAAGGACACCTCCCATTAGACCACAGCTCAGACTTAACTGAGGAGCATCCAGGAACTACAACCAGTCATCCAAAGTCCTCTGGTTCCAGAGGAAAAAAAGGGAGAAAAATGTGTGTGTGTGTGTGTGATGTGAACACCTCCCCAGTGATGAACAGTCTGATGAGTACACACAATTCCACATTACTTCTGATAAATTAACAAATAAAGACATAAAATTACCACCAGGGCTGTACAAGACACTTGCTTAAGAAGCTACCAGAACATGTATCCCAACGGAGAGCAGCCAGGAGAGCACCCAGGAACTACAACCAGTCATCCAGCTGCTCCAGGCCTTACCCACCCTGGCTGTGAACACTGCCAGGGCTGGGCCATCCACAACCCTCCCTCTGGGCAGACTGTTCAAACCCCTCTCCCAGTACAGGATGGAACACAGAGCCCTCAGCCCCACCCAGAGGCGGCTCAGGAGACTCAGCTCCACCAGGCACCTCCTCTCTCCCGCTGGAGCAGCGGAAGGGAAGGGCTGTCTGTACCTCTCCAAACTGCCCCTCTCCCAGCTTCTCCTTGAGGCGCAGCTGCTGCCGAGGGAACTCCCCCACGGAGATGTCCTTCTTGGTGAGGGAGTCCACGGTGAGGGCGGGCACGGCGTACATGTTGTTGCCGGTCACGCCCTGCAGGTGCACGATGTCGGTCTCGGCGTAGTGAGGGACGTTGTTCTGGAAGCCTTGGTGAGGGGTGGACTTGGTCAGGTCGGGCTCAGCGTAGTCCCCGCTGCACACTGAGGGCAAAACGGAGAGGGGGGCGATGTCAGACCGCCTCAAAACCAGCTCCCAGTGCTCTCAGTCCCACATTCAGTCCTCTGGGAATTCGGCCCAGCTGCTGAGCAGCTACTGCTGTGCTGAGGGACACCCACCCGGGACACACTGCCTTGTTTTAGCCAGGGCTTCCACCAGAACGAGCCACATTTCTGCAGGCACCAAAATACCTGCGAGCCACCAGCTAATTCCTGTTCAACACAGCCTGCTCTACTCAGTCATGAGAGTTAAAGTTCTTGTCCAGACATGGAGTGGTGAGTCTGAAGTGATTTTCTGTTTCTGATTCATCCTAAATACAATATGTTCCCACTACCTGACGCAGGGATGTTGTTTGTGACACCAAACTTGCTCTGGATTCTCTTCTGCAACAAGAACTGATTGAGGCTTCCATTTCCCACATCCTTTGTTAGCACACCCCACTCCCTCTGACAGCTTATTCACATAAATATCACAGGGCAGCACTTTAGAATTAACTCCTTGCGTGGTCAGTATGACACAGAACCTTTGTTCTCCTTCAAATTCACACCCTCACTCAATCCAGCCAGTCTCTCTGTGCAGTTCAGTGCTGGATCTTAGCAACTTGTCAGTGTGAGGAATGCAGGAATGGGACTGCCCTTCCATCCACTGCTCAGCATTGCCACTGCTGAGCACAGAACACTGTTGGAAATGTTCCTCTCTGCGTGGGTCCAAAAGCTGCCCCAGGGCTGGAAGCCAGGACACCACTGGCAACTCCCTGCTGCATTTTCCTCTGCTTTTTCTGACAAAAAGGTGCTAAAGGTCTTCTCCCAGGAGTGCTGCAGGCAGCCACTCCACTGCCACGAGACAAACAGAGTGTGACTGCTGTGACTGCCCAAACCAGCCGCTAAAAGATGACCTGGGTAATGTATAAACAGTCTTCACATAAAACAATAAAAGGCCACCACCCTCTAGTGGGGCTGCTGCTCCAGCTGTCACTGTTACATGCCAAAAAGTTCCAGAGCTCCAGAATACTGCCTGAGGTCCCTGGGTTAAGTATTGTATTGCACAGGAGTCAAAGATGAGAACTTAAGACACTGAGAAGCGGCACATTTTATGGTCTGACAGAAATAATAAAAGAATAAACACATAACTTCCAGATGACATTACCTGAATCCTCTGCACTCTGGGAGAGCTCTGGGAGCTTTTGGAGTAGAGTAGCTGGCTGGTGATACTCCAGATCCAGCGGGAAGGCCCGTTCATAGGTGGGATTTGACTGGTGGATCTGGGTCTGGTTGTTTGCGATGGTGTAGCTGTAGAAGGAGAGGCGAACGGTGGCATCCTCCTCCAGGATTCGACGTGGGGCCTGCAGGAGAGAAGGGAAAAAACCACTGAGGCCAGGCTCAGCTCTTTAATAATGTGTTGGCTGCAACCACAGCAACTTCCAGTAACATCTTGGATAGGGCTGGCATCCTCCCCTGCTGTGAGAACAGCTTTAGCTGCCCTGTGGAGCTGGGGAAACCTTGTGCTTTGCACAAATCGGAGCTCACCAGGGTAAATGATCAGCGCTGAACTTGTGTCTGCAGAACAGCCCCATTGCATTACCTTCTCCAGCCTTTTCTGAACATATTGCTTCCAAAGAATGATGATTATAATCATCAGGAGCAGCAGAATAATAGCCACAAGGCAGCCCACGAGGATGGAGGTATTGGAGTCATCTGCCTTCTCGCCTATCCAGGTGCTGGTTACAGAAGATGTGGTTTCTGCAATCACAGAGGTACAGAGAAGAATCTGGAGTTAAAGAACTGATTGTTATCTGTGTTGGCCAACCTCCTGCAGTCTGGTACGGAAGAGATCTTGGGCAGCTCACTGAGCATCACCATTAGCTGGTTCACATCTTGCTCTTATCAGAAATTCCAGTTCTGGAGGCTCGCAGATAAGAACTGTGCAGAGACCTTCTGCAATCAAAGACTGTCCTTAGCAGAACAGGCCCTGCAATGGATCCATACTAGAGAAGACAGTGTTCAGAGCTTCACTGGCTGCACATCCACCTTCAGCCCACACTCCAGGGCAGACCCAGCCAGCTGAGGGAAGAAAACACCTGAGGCTGTCGGATGCTGCCCTGTGTGTGAGGGCAACAACCAGGCCATCCCCAGCTGTCCAGAAATGGAGGGAGAGACCACATTCACTAGGATGGCACTGCAATCCCCTAGCACTTGAGCCCCTGGCATGGCTAAGGGACAGAGATCCTTACCCCAGGTGCCCTCAGTAACGTTGTACTCTGTTTCCAGCAGATCCGTCGTGATTGTCGCTGCCGTGACAAAACTGGGATTCACACTCTCCATGTCTGTGGAAGGGAAGGGAACGTGTCAGTGCAACAAAACCTCCCTGCTCCTGCCAGCATTCCCTGCAATCCCAACTGGGCTGAGGCCCAGGCAGGTCAGGAACAGCCTGAGCAGGGATTCCCGAGCCCTTCCCAGCACAGCTGTGGGATGAGCCTCTGCACCGAGCAGCACGTACAGCCCGGCCACAGCACAGCACCAGCGACTGCAGGGCCTGCCCTGAGCTCAGCCACACACAGGGGCCCGAACAAGAGCCTTTCGCCCATTTTAGCATCATCTCAGAATAAGGCTGGACCAACAGCCTGCTTGGTCCCACATGCGACAGAGCAGCCAGGAGGGGTTGCTGTCAGCAAGGTCAGCAATGAGCAGCACCCAGAGCACTCCTTCCTCAGGAAGGTCTTCCTGCTACAGCTGATTAGCTACAGCCAGCTCATTCCACCATCAGTGCTGGTGGTTTTCTCCAAGTGTCTTGTCCTTTCCCTTCCAGAGCCTTTTAAAGCACCACACGGCACCAACTTCTGCATCATAGTTAAGGCTTGAAAACAGAAAAAAAGGCCTCTCATTTTTAATAATCTGCTAACTTGACCATCACCTGTAGATCTATTAAAATTATTCACAATAAAATACTTGGTAAAGAGAACTAAAAATCAACCTCATAACCAGCAGGCAACTGGGGAAGCAGAGGGGCAAGTACCAATCTCTTCACTGTCGTGACCAGTGACAGGAGTCGAGGGAACAACTGGAGCTGTGTCAGGGCAGGCTCAGGGTGGATCTCAGGGAAAGGTTCTTCCCCCAGAGGGTGGTTGGCACTGAACAGGCTCCCCAGGGCAGTGGGCACAGCCCCAAGGCTGCCAGAGCTCCAGGAGGGTTTGGACAACGCTCTGAGGGACAGGGTGGGATTGCTGGGGTGTCTGTGCAGGGCCAGGGGTTGGACTGGATGATCCTGAGGGATTCCCCCAACTCAGGATATTTTATGATTCTATGAACTGTCTCAAAAAGAAGAAATGCTCTTATGGTCCAATTTTTGGTAGCCTTGGTCACGCTCCTGCACATGTGCATCAGTGTCAGCCTGGAAAGCATCCACTGAAGATTTGTCCCACCTCCTCCTTTCCACTGTGTGGCCCCACAGTGCCTTCTCTCTGTTAACCCCACACATCCTGCACTTCCACGCTTGTGCTGCCAGAGGAACCCTCACCTGACTGGAAGGAGATCTCGCTCATCATCATCCAGGTGTCAGCGAAGTAGAAGCGGCACAGGATGGCTTTGCCCACGCGCTGGTTCAGGGGGACGGTGACGAACCTGGCGCTGGGGTTCTTGTCATCCAGGACTGTGGCCACCCCCACAGGCTCAGGCTCCCAGTCTGCAATCAGGCGTGGTTTGAACAGGCACTCCACCCTCTGGAAAATCTTCACCCCCTTGGAAAACATGTTGTTACAGTGCACCTTGGAAGAAGAGAACAGATCCATCAACCAGAGGTTTACACACCTACATCAAGCCTCAAGGATTTTCCATCCATGAAAATTTTCCATTCCCAGTATCTCCCTGTACGAATACAGACCCAATGACTTGTTCCAGTTTAGTTCCCAGTGTGCAATGAGAACATCTGTGCAAAAAGTTCCTTCTGAAACAGCTCTAAAACTTTACCTGCAAAAGCTACACCAGTGGTCTCCCTTTGGCAGGCTCTGCAAAAGGCCAATATAAAAACCAATCCTACAAACCCTGCACTGATCTAATGCTTCACAGATCAATTATCCTTGAACACAGAACCTAAGAGGGGAAAGAAAAAGCCCATCTAGGCTTTAGACTCTATTAGTGGTGAAAATTTGATGCTATTTAAAAAGCTAAGTACTTGCCTGACATAAACAGCTGGAACTGTTAGGCCACAAATTGAACTTTATCTGAACTATGTGGTTCTGTTGTATAAATCAAAGATGAATTACAGTGAACCCTGGAGCTGCTAATCTAATCATTAATAACAGTAAAGATGGATTGTAGCAAAACTTGAAGATAAGAATCTGATCATTAATAATAGAACAGACCAAAGCTGCAGCTTAAATATTACTTAAAAATTAAGAGGTGGAGTGGACAGCCCACAGTTCTGTGAACTGTAACAACCACGTTACACAGACTACAGAACTGCTCAAAACCCACCTCAGAGGTCGGGGTGAAGGTCACCATGTGGCAACCTCTTGGTAATGAAACAGTGAAGCAATGGAAAGTGAGAAGACCCAGAGCCTCATATTGCTCTTGGACTGCTGCATGAGGGATCCCAGGGATTTCTTTGTCCACAGTCCCTCTTTTGAGGCACCAGCTCGAGCTACCAGACATCACAACTGATCTGCGCCAATAAACCAACCCAACCTAGTGTTCAAAGTTTCTTTAGCACTTAGGAGGCTTTTAACATCTGCAGTTCTAAGCTAATCTCTTCCAAAAAACCACTAAAAAGTACAAGCTCGAGGAGAAACCCCCTGACATCCAGCAGGTGTCCTGCTGTGGTTGCACCTTGAAGACAACCAAGGGTGTGAGTTTTGGGGAAACCATGACGTAAGGCTGCATCCATCAGCCTCTCCTGGTGGCTCCTCAGCAGGCTGTCCCTGCTGCAGTGGCACCTGTGCTTTAGCTGAAGACACTGGAATTTAAGTGCAGTCACTGCACTGCCACACAAACACCTCACCAGAACAGGGGCATCTTCTCTCAGCTCCCAGTTACAGCTCCACAAAAATCTCTCAGACTGACTTCACACCTCCCTGAGGGGTCTGTTTTACCCTCCAAGAACTGGGAGCAGCTTTCTCCCTCCCTGCCCCTGAGCTGCAGCCAAACCAAAAGGTGGCATCTCCATCCTCCTGGGCTGCGGCACTGCAGACCCACGAGCACCAAACTCCTGGCACTCTCCCAGGCTTCCAGCACCCCCAAGGAAGGAGGCTTTGGGAAGAGGGACAACGCTTGGAAGCATCTTCTATGCTGTAATATTTTGTCTTCAATACAAATCTTACCCTGCTCCCTTTTTAACACACACCCCAGTGTGAGTTGTGCCACGCAGACCTGAAGATCTGGACCACAGTGAGCAGGAACCAGAAAGGAATCAGGTGACTCAAAGTCTTCAGAATCCCTCAGTCTGCTCCATTCTCATGGCCACAGTGGTCCAACCCTCCCCAGACCTCTAGGAATTATTTCCTAATGACTGGAGTGCATTGCCACTGTGACAACAACAGCTTCCAAACTATGCACAGCTTTGAACCCCATTAATTGCTTGGCCTCTGCCAGGTCCTGCAGTGAATAGCAGCGAAGCAGTAATGAGGAGAACAGGCCTGATGAGCAGTAAAAAGACAAAAGAAGAGTATTTGCATGTAATTAGGAACAGATGAAGCTCAGACAACATTATTCAATAAGGAGAAACAGTCATCCATAACAAGGCAGGAAAGCCTGATGCCTGGAATATACAATTTGGGCCATATTTGGACAGGAGCTGGATATGTTCACAACTTGGACTGATACAGAGACACTTTCTATTCCAAACACCTCCTACTGATGTCCAATTTTACAGTATTCAAGCCTAAGTATTTTGCAATGCAGCTGCAACACTTGCTAACATTTATTTTTAATACTTTCTTGGATACTGGGAAAGTTCAGAGTGGGATAAAGTTACCAGGTATGAGGATACAAAAATTATTCACAGACCACCTGGCCTGTACAAAATAAATGCAAAGCTGAAATAGGCAACATTCAATCAATAATGAAGCCTAATTTATGCTAATCAAAACAGCTTCACAATGAAATACCAGATGAAACAGCTGTTTTTATAAGCTGATGTGTTTGGTTGATCAGGATGGTTGTGTTTACATGACAGACTTTTGGAAAACTTTGATTTACCCACAGCATCTGCCTCCAATTAGCACAGTATGGACTCATGTATTATAGTAATTTGATTAAACACTGTCAACTAGTAAGTTTTACAGACAAATTGTTCTCTAGGTGTTATAAAACAGGAATGGATTCCTAAATCAAAATTATTTGCTATGTTTTTCAATGATCTGGAAGAGACAGCAGAATCACTAGCAATAAAATAAATTAAATGCAGGGGGGGAGGGAGTTTCCAAAAATAATCTGAGGCTTTCAGGACTGACTCATGTCAGAGCAGTGAACTCAGGGACAAAATGTAAGTGATGCTTTCCACACTGGACTTTTATCCTGGACACCAGTAACTTGGAACTGGCTTTTAGCATGATACCAAAATCTTAATGACCACTGGCTCCCTCTCAGTTGGTCTGGAGGACTAAAATCACAAGATTCATAAACAAAAAGAATCATCCAAAAGCAGGAAATTGGTCCCATTCTTTTATGCAATTTTGATGGAAAGCCTGGATTTGGATCCAGATTCTGTACCTCCAAAAGAATCCCAGCAAAGACAGACAGCACTGGATGACAGCTCCAAAAATGACCCTGGGTCTCACCAGGAAGGCACTGAGAAGTCCCAGCTAACTGAGTTTAGTAAAGCAAAGTTAAAGAGAGTGGTTTAATCACAGTGCACAAGCAGATTTCAGAGGAGGCAGGATTCTTATTTTTGCCAGTGAAAGCAGGCAAAGAGCCAACGGTTGCAAGTTAAAAATAGACAAAATAAAACCAGAGTAAAGTAACCACCAAAACAATTTACTTAAGGATGTGGTGGGTTCTCCTTCATTTGAAATCTCTACAAGAAAAGCCACCAATCCTTTTTTAAAAGATCCTGCTGTTTACTACAGACTCAAAGTTCAGCTCGTGCTTTTCCTGTGTGTTTAAATAATTTCCCACAGCACAAGCACAGGCTGAGCCATCCAGAGAAGCACTTGGGCAAAATGGAAGCACAACCACATTCCTTTACCTCAAGGGTCAGGCAGTCCCTAGACAGTAAAGCCCAGATCCTAAATCCATCCTGGCTGCCCAAGCCCTGCTTCAGGTGTCTGCTTTTAATGCCTTCAACCAAATGCTCAAAGAAGTCTGAGCTCTGGAGAGCAAGTGCTCCCCTGCTTCATCTTTCTACGCTGGCAACCTGGGACATCTCCAGCCCAAATTCAGCTGTCAGGCACCTTGCACCCTCCTGCTTTGGGAAGAGGACCCAAGGCCAGGTTGGACAGGGCTTGGAGCAACCTGGGACGGTGGGAGGTGTCCCTGCCCGTGGCAGGGGGTGGAACGAGATGAGCTTCAACATCCCTTCCAACCCAAACCAGTCTGAGATTCCATGTCCCAAAGGGGCACACTGGAAGCCCCCCCAGGCCTGTCCCCCAGGAGAGGAACCCCCCTGACTCACCTTCATGGAGGTGAAGTTCCGTGGTCGGTCGAACTGGAACTCCATCTCCACGGCGCCCGTGCTGAAGCTCTCGTTCTTCCAGCCCACGTAGTCATAGCCTGGCCACACACGGTACTGGTGGCTCTGGGTGAAGTCATCCAGGCCCAGCACACCATCTGTGAGCTGGCCCAGCCCCCCATACAGGTGCCTGGCAAGGGAGAACCCACAGTCAGCCAGAGCAGCAGCAGGGGAGCTCCAGTGTGAGAACACACAGGGCTTTCAACAGGTACCAGGAAAATATTAGTTTACTCTGAAACCACCCTGGACAAGAACTCATTCACTGCTCTTATGCAACACCACCTTTGTTTTGTTTGGTCTGGGCTTGTAAAATTTTAAAAGGCAGAAGTTTTTGCACTGATATCAGGGACTGAGAGCAAAGCCAGGCTACGAGCACGGAGCCTCCTGAGAGCAAAAACTGACACTGCAGAAGATGAAATGTGTGTTCTCCAAACACAGCTTGAATTGCAGTATTTCACCATGCAGCTGCACAGGAGGAACACAGCTCCAGCCTGCCCTGGGGGAACCTGTGGGGAAAGATCTGCAGGCAGGCACAGAAATCAGGAAAGGGAGTAGTGAGATCATGGGCAGCTCACCCAGTCACAGACAGTTCTAACTGGGATCATTTCTGGCCTTTCTTGTGCAAGAGGAGAGTATTATTGGCTGTTTCCAAGGCTGATCAGACTCTTTGCCAGGATCCTGCCTCATTCCACTTCCTATCTGAGGGTGTGGAGCCCATTATACAGTTTTCCAGCACTGTCCCAGAGCAGAACATGACAGTGTGGTCCATTCCTGACCCTTCTGGAAGCCATCCCTGCCACGTCCCTTGTCCTGCAGCAGGGAAAGTGCAAAAGCTCAGCTGTGTCAGTGCCTGAACTCACTCCCTGGCCCAGTTTCATGCCCCTGTCTCTGGGCAGCCTCTGTAACCCCAGCTGGGCTGCAGCTCTGAGTCCATCCCAGGTGAGCCCCTGCCACTGGAGCTCAGGAACACATCCCTCTGGACTCCAAACCAGGATTACCAGCTGGAAGAGGCAGATTCCTGCTTCCAGGCCAGTTGGGCACGTGAACTAGAGGTTAAGGGGTTTGAAAGAGTCCTTGCTCAGCAGGTTGGGTTTGTGCCTAAATCTGCAGCTCCCCAGCAGACCCAGCTTCCTAAGAAGTGCTGGACAGCTACACACAACAGCTACTCACTGCTGCACATAAAACCTTCCTTTATGGATATCCAACCTCTACTACATCAGCACAGCTTGAAAGTATCAGATATTAACATATAAAAGACATTGCTACCTGGTATCATGCACATCCTAAAAGCATGAAGAATGTACTTCCCACCCTGTTATTTTAACCTCCAGCATGACAGAACACAAATAAGGTTACCAAAAAAAAAAAATCATCTTTAAGCATAAAAAAAAAATTAGGCAACGGTAAAAATTCACAGAAAGTTAATGGCACCTGAAACAGGAAATATAAGAAAAACACCTCAAGTCAATGGATGATACCAGGTCACTGAACAGACACTGTCAGATCAGTCATTAGGCAATCCCTGCCCTGGCAGGGATATGCTGTCCCAGGATATCCATGCCTGAGGTTTCAAGCCATTGAAACACACCCAAATCTGTTTTTATAGCAAAGAAAGTGGTCATACTAAATGTTTTCAGTTCAGCCAGTTATTTAACATTTCAGATACAGACTCCTAATGCACCTTCCTTCCACGAGAGTCAATTGTGGGGTAAACCAGAGACACCTCAAAACATGCCACCCTACCTAGCTCATCTCAGTGGGAAAAATCAACAGACCTTGTCAAAATCCAGTTCCTTCAGGTTTTCTGACTCCAAATTGGAAAAGCATCATACCCAAGTAATCAGCCACCATCCTCTCATACCACATGGGCAGTGGTGCCTCTGCTGACCTGGAGCTTCTCACAGGGAGTGATGCAGTTTTCCAAGTTGTTTCGAGTCCATCAGAGAGCTCTGTTCTCAAAAACAGTCTCTCAAATCTGTCCAGAAGCTCACAGGTACCCAGTGCAGGCCTGGAGTTCAGGTGTTGTGCACTTCCCTGGACGCTCAGTTTACCCTGGAGACCTCCTGCAACAGTTTGAGATGCAGTCTGCTAGAAAGTGCAGGTCAGGGGTCAAACTGCAGAAGCAACACAGGCAATGAACAAGGCAAGGACCTTCATCTGCTCCAGGGACACTGGGACTGCACAGGCAGAAGATCCAGCCAGAACTGCCACTCCAGTCTGGGGCAACAGGAGAGCAGCAGCAACTTAAGATCTGCAGTATCAGTGACAGTTAAAGGCTCTACCTGAACCAGCAGAGAAATCAGGGCAAGGAATATGATCACAGTTAGAGACCAAGAGCCTGGAAGGCTTTAAGGCAAATCAGACATCAGGATTGTATGGTCACATCACGTAAAGACTGAAGCTACAAATAAAGAGAACACTGAGTTACTTAAGAACAGAGTCATCTCTTTAAAGATAAAAACTAATAAAAAAAACTATTTCTTTCCAGCCAACAGCCTTTGTCAGCTGGGGGAAATGAATCTGATACACCCTGAGCCCTCCTTTAAAACATCAACTAACAGTGTGTCAAAGGGCCTGGAATAACAAAGCCAGGATGCTTTGGAGAACTGGTGTCTAGCTTGCAGCTCCCAGTGTTTGGGATACAAGATGCTAGTGACAGAGTGAGAAGAAAGGAGAGAATCTGCAGTGACAGAGAGAGAACAGGACAGCTCCTCCCACCTGCGCTCCTGGTATCCATCATAGGTCGAGTCATTCAGATAAACGATGGGGAAGCCAGGAGCCGCTATTGTCCCTCCTTCAGGGATGCTATAGGATGCCAAACCATCTAAAAAAGAAGGCCATACACCTCAGAAACACAGCAGCAGCAGCAGCCTTCCACCACCTCTGTCCACAGGGTCCTTTTGTCGGCAGCCTGGACCCACAGAAGCAGTTCCGTGGCCTGGGGTTCCCTCTGCACGAGTGGGGATGTGGGTGAGTCCCAGCCAGGGTCTGCAAGGACTGTGTTGCAGTGACAGGCATGGGAATGGGTACTTACCATACCAGACACAGCCATAGAGCTCCACCCTCATGCAGACAGTCATGGGCATCTCCGTGACGGGGATCACGCGGATGAACCGTGCGATGATGGGCGGCCGCAGATCTTTCAACACCACGTCGTAGGTGTCGATGTTGCCTTGGATCACCTGGGGGAGAGAGATCCTTACCAGCAACTTCTCCCCACTCTGCTGTTCGTTTGCACACTGGTGCACCTGTACCCTGCTGGTTGAGACTGGGGAGCTTCCAGAGTGGAGTCTGCAGAGGGTGAGCTGCTGCTGCTCCCCTCCTCCTCCCTGGCACGTGGCTCATGGGGTGAAGGGTGCTGCCATCCCACCTCCTGCCCAGCAGGCAGCACTGAGGGAGAGGAGAGAGGCAGCTGGGAGGTGAAGATGCAATCTGTGTTGCAGACAGCTCCAGTTACTCTGATGTTGCTCTTTCCTCAAGTGAGTGTCCATGTACGTTCCAACCACAGTAACTGAGAGCTTGCCCTCGTCACCTGGTGGAGGGTTCTGATGCCCTTGCTCTATAAGCCAACAAAATTCCAGAGGTTTGAGGGATGAAAGTGCAAATAGCTGCACAGGAAAGATCCTGGGCTGACGTGCTGAGCATCACCACAGTCACCCCACCCAGCTGCAGTGAACTGTGACAGGGCAGGGACTGTCCCTGTCCCCTTCCCTCATTGCCACTATAGCTCTGGGAGCAGTCCACTCTATTTTGGCAGTGTGTGGAAACAGCTGAGGCTGTCAATCCCCTCACAGCAGACACAAAGTGCCCAAGAGATTTTTTTAGAAGTGATTTGAATTTATGGAAACAAAACTATGACCAGTTTTTATACCAGCAGTCCAAATTACACCTGTGAGGGGGTTCTGCTCAAAGCTGTCATTGGTGGGAAGGATGAATCAGGCTGAGGTCACTCAGAAGATCCCACAGATTGCAACTGGTGATGTACAGGCAATTAAGAAGACGAGGGAGATCAACAAGAGAGCAGAAAGGTGGTTTCCTCTTCATGGCAGCAGGGAAGATCTCCAGAGAGTGACTGTGGCTGGAGAGACCATTGAGAAGTGAAAGACCTTACTGTATCACAAAAAGAAACCACTCAAGACTGACTGAGCAGCCAGACACATCTGGAGGTCTACTGGACTGCATGAGGTACTGTGATAGTCTCCTGGATGTGGCTGGACAGCTCTACAGAGGTGCACAGTCCCAGGAACTGAACACAGAAAACAGGAGGAAAGCCAAAAAGTAAAGCTCTCTTCCTCATCAGCTCCTCTATAGGCTCTAATCTGCAGCTTCTCAGTATCTCTTCCAGGAGAAACCCCCATCAGTTCTCCCAGTGGAGCAGGGACACTTCAGCAATTCCTGTCTTCAGGAGCCAAGGGACACTGATTAACCCTTTCTGGTGGCCGACAACAGGAGACCTGGAAGCCACCTAGGCTGGCCCAACAAGGCCATGCTGACAGGAGATAAAACCCAAGAGGAGATAGCATATAGCAGAATATTCCATGCCTTCATCACAGAAGTTGGACAGGTCCTCCAGAGCTGGCTGTTTGTCAGGCAATCTCTAAGGTGGCAGATATGTCAAGCCAAAAAGTCTCAGACGGACAGAGGAAGAAAAGCTTCAGCCACCCCTCAGAAAGAGGCACCTTTGCATGGACTTCACAGTGGAAGTGCTGGCAATCCTGCCTGTCTTCTGAGATAAACCAAGAAACATCCTGTGTAACACCCCCACAATGTGGGGTTCCTGCTCCCGAACACAGTTACCCAGGGCCAAAAATCCCTCAGAGAATCAGTTGTGTGTTGAATAAACAGCACCAGTTCCCAGTCCTGGACACTACTGATTCCAGTGCTCCCAGTGTATCAGGCTGATACCACAATCTGATGAGGATTCCCAGCATAGCACCACTCAACACCAGCGCCAACAGAAGGGACCATCCTCAACTGGTATCAGAGACAGGGGGACACCAAACTGACTCATTGCCTTTACAAGGGAAATAAAAGCTGGAGCTGACTGTCCTGGAGAGTTAAGCCCATTGAGTTTAAACTTTCCCTCCCCATCTGCAAACACAGTGTTCGCAGCACACACCAAAATGTGAGGGATGGGCAAGACAGCTGATGAACAAACAGCTGATCAAAGGTCTGAGTGAGCAAATAATTCATTAATAAGCTAAAGGTTGTTACCTGATAATGCTACGGGCCCCACTGCGACTTCCAAAGCACCCCCAGTACAAGAAAACATCACCACACCCGGTCCCTTTCTGGTCTGGCTTAGGTTTTCAGACTCCCCAAGCCAGCCTGAGGGACCAGGCCAGAGGAGCTGCAGCTGAGATGGGGATTCCTTCCCAGGGGAAGTTTAACAAAGGCTTAATGAACACAACCAGAGCTCAGCCAGCACCAAACTGTGTGCTCAGGTCTGGAAATAGCATTAGACACAGTTCTGATGAGTGGGGAAGCCTCCCTGTGTGCGCTCAGCACATTTTCTACTCTCTCAACTCCTTCCTGAACACCCACAAACTCCTTTCCATTCCTTGCCACCCCCTCCCTTTCTCAATCCCAAAGCAGGCAGCTGCTTTGCAGCTTCCCATTTAGAAGCAAGCAAATGGCTGGTAGAAGGACACTCACAAGATGTTTGAGACAGGCACAGAAAGGTTGTGAAGAGACCCAGTTTTCTATCCCATCAACAGCTGAGATTTGGGGAGCAGGTCAGGGGAGTGACAGTCCAAACACCACAGCACACACAGAGCTGAGGCAGAACCCGCTGCCTGGCACCCAGGAGGCAGCAAAAAGCAGGATGTAGAGGGTGTGCCTTCTACAGTCTAGGTCTGAGACTTGCCCTGTGTGCTGCCCTGACCCCACTGCCCTCACCTTCCTGCCCTGGCGGTCCTTCCAGGAGATCCAGCGCTCCCCGTTCCGGCTGTAGTCCAGCCGGTAGGCGCGGGCGAACTCCTTGCCCGTGGCGCGGGCATGACGGCCCTGGGTGCCAATCAGGGTGATGAAAAACAGCTTGTGCAGGTCGATCTGAAGGAACTGGACATCTTCTGGTTGCAACAAGCCTGCTGGGCACCAGGCTCCATCCCCCTCTTCCCTCTGTAACCTGAGGGGAAAAGCACACGCACCACAAAAAATGGCGATTTTAGAAACTGAGGGAACACCAAGGCTTTGAGGACTGGGAGGAATCAACCAAAACAGCAAGTGAGACCTGGCAGATGGCTACCAAATATCTCTGCCCTCTGGGATGATGGTCAGCTGACACTTTTCAGAACAACTCCTCAGTTTCAGGTATCTCTCATTAACTGCTCGAAGTAATTTCTTTCCCAGATGTGTACTTTCAGGTTGATCAGAAACAACCATCCTGCTCCCTGCTTTGTAGCACCTTGTGCATCCTCACTGCTCCTAAACCCCACATGGTAAGGCCTGAACTCCTGCTTGACCACCTCCTGCAGCTCTACCAAGAGGAGACATCTTAAAAATGTATTTTAGCAAGAAAAGCTCTGCTCATCTGCAAATTATTCTGGGGCATCTCAATGCATATTTCACATCCCCTTCAGCCATCAGAGCTGCTGCTGCAGGACACTGCTGGGTGTGTGATGGTGACCATTGTGGCACCAGCTGCAAAGATTAAGGCATTTGTCCTTGGAAATGAGAGGTTGGGGTTTTTCAGCCTGGAAAAGAGGCTGTAGAGCCCCTCCCAGTGTCTAAAGGAGCTAAGAGAGCCCCCTGACAAGGGCCTGGAATGACAGGACACAGGGAATGGCTTCCCACTGCCAGAGAGCAGAGTTAGATGGGATATTGGGAAGGAATCCTTCCCTGGGAGGGTGGGGAGGTCCTGGCACAGGTTGCCCAGAGAAGCTGTGGCTGCCCCATCCCTGCAAGTGTCCAAGGCCAGCAGCAACCTGGGCTAGTGGGAGATGTCCCTGCCGTGGCAGGGGTTGGATTCAGGTGGTCTAAGGTCCCTTCCAACCCAAACCAGCCTGTGACTCCATGAATCCACAGGCCAGCCCAGCACTGCATCCATCAGCCCCAGCAGCAAGCACCTGGCCCAGGCTGCTGAGGGCTCAGCTGTCCAGCCTGTGAGGTGGTGAGAGATGCAATGGTGAAAAATGCACTTGGACACAAAAACAACAAAAAAAACCACATGTGGACTTTTTAGCTACAGGGATTTCCTGGCAAACAGCAAGGCCTTGAAGTGCCCTTGCCCTGCAGACAGCCATCCATCTCTAACTGATGGGAACAGAGTGTGCACCAGGAAGGTGGGACCCAGGACACACTGAAGGCCAAGGCTCAGGCTGGAGAAGATTTCAGTCTCCTGTTGGTCAGCTGTTTGTGAAAGACTCTTACACTGAAGAAGCAAGTAAAAAGCTACAAAAAAACACAGGAAAAGCAACTGAAATGCCAGGGACAAACATCTGCATAGGACAACTGTGACCTCTAACCAAAGTCAGCTAGAGGCTGCCTTCATGTCTTCACCCTGTGGACATCCAGCTGCCCTGGCAAAGGGATGATGGCAACAGATGGTAAATGATGCCCAAAGTGTTTGCAGAACTGGACATAAGGCATAACTCAGAGGACAAAATGGGTCTCCCAGCTTTCAGGCCCATAGGCTTGTCCCCTAAAACACAGCATGGCTGCTCTACCACAGACTAAGAAAAAATTATAATCAAGCACTAAGAGAATTTTATGAATTTTGGACTGCCTAAATTAATCAAAAAATACCACAGTAATCTGAAATTCTTATCTGACTTGCGCCAAAACTGTAGGAGAGTTTGGCATCATCACTACAAGCAAATCTAAGGAAATTCACATTTGTAACTATTTTGTGAACCATCAGTTTTTGAGAGAAATGAAATGACCCCAAAAAAATGAAAAGCCAAGCTTGTGGCAAACACTGTAGTCCTGCTTGACAGTGAAGGAAAATCCTTTAGCTGCTTGTTAACAATTCCTTAACTCTGCAGTTCCCGGGTTTTTGAGTCAGAGTGAGCACAGCCCATTTCCTCAATAGGATGCTGTTGAAAAGTTCATCCTTATAAAGGATTTCCTACGATTTGGTTTAAAGCACTCCACAAGAATCCCAGGGGCACTGTCCCTGGCTGACCTGTAAGTCACAAACCCACTACAGATTTATTCACAGAACTGCAGGAAGATGATGAGGGTCAGAAGCAACTTCTGAGCCTCCAGTCCAACCTCCTGCTCCCAGCAGGACCAGCTCCAAAGCCACAATGTGTTCCTCGAGGCTCTTTCACTGTGCCCCAACCAGATTTAACATGGAACCAAAGCTTTTAAGGCTGAGGGATCTTCTTCCTCAGTCACATATTGGGTATTTAGAAGGGAAAAAAAAAAAAAAAAAGGAGGATTTTTTTTTTTTTTTTTTTTGCCAGAGCTGAACCCACCGTGCATACTGGGGTCCTGTGGAATCATACCACTGGCTGGAAGCAGTGATGTCTTCATCCCTTATGGTCCCCTCGTGCATTCCCAAAGGGTAACGGCAGATAGCTGGAAATGGCAACACAAGCAGGTAAACAACACCAAAAAAAATCACTACTGGTTTGGTAAAAGACGCAAATCAAAAGCATTAAATACCTCATAATTACCATAAATTGAAATTATAAGTCATTTAATAGACTTACACTATCATTCAGTCAGAGCTGAAAAGCAGAACTTTACAAAGAAACATTTGAAGAACTGAAATCCCAAACCAAATGTTATTGTTACTGGTTGCACTGGCCCATTTTACAGTGAAAAATTATTCATCAATAATGATGTGATATAAAAAGGAAGGTTTTGTTAAACATTCTTCTTCCCCTGGAATAAACTGGATGCTCCACTTGGGCTCAAATAGGAACAGTTATTATCTTCACCAGCCCAGTAACGAGGGAGAAGTTAAACAGATTCTACTAGAGGGGATTGATGAGTTATAGAAACATCTGCTCTGTGCTGTCACTGCAGGTGGGGGTTTTTATTTGAGCACAAGCCCCTGTCCATCCCTCCTACCCTGTCCCAGTCTGTTCCCTCTCTGTTCCCACTTCTTTTTTATCACCACAGAGAATAAACCATCACAGGCTGAATGATTCAGTGCAACCCAAGAGATTCAATGCAGAAATGTCTGCAAACAGAGGGTGCTCCAAAAAGGTTTGCCTGCAGCTGCCAGCCACCTTATCAGTGAGTGTGTGATGTGCTCTGCATTCCTAAATAATCCTGTAAAGGAGATGGGTGGTGAGGTGACAATGTTTGCTGATGATACCAGATTATTTAATATTTAAAAAAAAAAAAAAGAAAGGGCAAATTATGAAAATACCTATAAAAAACCCTAGAAAACAGCATTACACCACTGTCTGTATCTGTGGTCAGATGCCAGGCAGATAAGGAATAGAACTCTTGGCTCCTTCCTCCTCTCATCAATAGGCAGAGAAGGCAACACAGATGATGAAAAAGGAAAGATCAGCAGCCTCATCTTACACAAGGAATTACTGAAGTATGACAAAGATCATTTATATCCTGAACAATATATACCCTCGCTGTCTCCCAAAATACCAGAGCCAGGAGCAATCAAAAGGTCAGGTAGGAGAGTTCAAACCCAGCACACTCCCCCTTAATCTATTAAACACTCCAATGCCACAGGTCCCCAGGGGTCCAAAGACCAGTCAGCTGCACAAACCCACAGCTACCACAAGCAAATCCCCCAGCACTGGCTCTGAAAGCTGCAGTGATGTGAGAGCCATCCTGAGGTAAAGCACTGCTGTGTGCCTGCCCATCCCTGCACTCTTCCAGCACCAGAGGGAGGGACCCTGCTGGAGTCAGGGCACAGAGCTGGATGGGCCTCTGCTCTCCCCACAAGAGCCATTCTGAGGAGTCTCTGTGGAGTTCCCTGGGAGGTAAGTGGTGTCAGCCTGGGATCAAGCATGACTGACTGCTGAGAGCCAGCCAGGAGCTCTCCTACTGCTCTGGCAGTAGGTTATTTACTAAACTAAACCACCCTTGATTGTCTTCACTCCCACCTGTCCCACCACAGAGCAGCACAAGCTGATCCATTGCTGGAGAGCTGTCACTGAACTACGGGTAAATACATGGGGATTGTCCAAAAGGGTGGGGTCATCACCTGAAAGTGGGGTTTGTGCTCCTGCAGTGGGAGTCCTGTACGGCCACACCTTATTTCAAGGTCAAACATACACCACACAGCAATGCCAGGTGGAGAGGGAGCTGGGAAGGTCTCTGGGGACTCACTGCAATCCTTAACAAAACTCATTTGGTCACAACCCCTGAGCTGGCAGATACAAGACAGTGTCCCTGGCATCAAGAGATGCACTCTTATGGGTGGCCATGGCTCCCACTAAAACAAGCAGCATGAGGCTCTCACCAAAATGCACGTTATCAGGATCAAAACCATCCTTGGGTTGTGTTTAGGTGCCACCAGGACCCCTGCACTGAGGGACACACTCAGCTGCCATGCAGACAGGAGGCACTGGGGGCTCAGAGAAATGGCACAGCTCACCTGTCAGGGAGGTCAAACAACTGATGTAAGGCGAGAGACTCCACAGAACCTTCCTACATAGGTCTGAAATCACCCACAAGGCAGCCCCCTTGGTTTGGAAGCCAATGCAGGAGGTGCTCTGGCTGCTCCTGGATGGGATCAGGAGAATCCATGGAGCCTGTGATCATCACAGCCAGGGAGCATCAGCTGGGCCACGGTGCTGGAGCGTGGCTGGGAAGAACAGGGCACAGCAGCTGAGGGAGCCTGAGCACGTCCCAGGCAGAACTGAGACGTGTGAGTGGTTGTTTCCTGAAGGAGAAGATTCCTGCAGGAGGGTTGGCCCACAGCCTTGTGCTCAGAGCCCACCACACCTCCCTGGAGCTGGAGGGGGGGAGCTATTCCTGCACCCTTGGGTGCAGGAACCTCTGTACTAATCACCACCACAAGGAACGTGTGTGGGACTGACCCTCCAGGTGCCACCTTCCCTCCTCTTCCGCGGTGGTTTAACCAGCAGAGCCGGGTGGCAGCCCCAGCTCCAGCCTGGATGTGTGCTGGGGTGTCCAGGGCAGGGAATGGCTGTGCAAAGGGAGCGCTGCAGTGCTCACTTCACTGCTGGCTGCTTGCAGCACAACCTCAAACCTCTGCAAACATCCACAGGCCAGAGCAGGGTCAGAGCCAGCCACAAAGGGCTCCAAACAAACAGAGCCAGCCCAGCCCTCGGGGCAGCACTGCAGCCTCACCACACACACCTTCAGCCAAGCTGGGAAAGGATCAGACTCATTTCTTTCTCAGTCTGCCTCCAGCTCAAAACACCTCATTACGGGAATTTGTGCAATATATCACAGACAATTATCTTCCTCATCTCCATCCTGACTGTATCTTGCCAAATGCTGGAGGATAAGAGGTCCTGCCCTCCACAGGGACTCACAGGCTCATATCCCTGTCTCTACCTTAGCCTCGTGCCAGGTGGGGTTTTCCACCTTTCCTTCCACACTTCTCTCTCCAGAATGCCCCTTGTGGCTGCAGAGCTGTGGCTGATGCTTTGCTAAGTGGTAATTTGCTTTCCCAGGTGAGCACAGAATCTCTGAGCCAGTCCAGAGGCTGGTTTGTTCTGCAGGACACACGGTCAAAGCAGGGAGGGGACATTCAGAGCCTGCTGAGAGCACAGGGAAGACAAAGGAGTATGTCCATGTGCCTTAGCCCTCCTGGGACGGGCAGGAGAGCTGTCCCACTCCAGCCCAGCTGCCAAGGAATACTGGCCAACTACGTCAGCGATTGTATTTACGCCAAACCTTCACACTCATGTGCAACCACCACCAGAGGCTAAGAAAGCCTGGGAAGGAGCACACAAAAGGTGGGACAGCAGCACCCTCTCCCTACCAGGGTTGACTTCTGTGCCAGAGGGCTCAGGCAGTGAGGCCAGCAGCAGCATGCAGAAGATCATGGTAGCAGTCGCAGGCGCCGTGCAGGGTCGGACGGGTGCGAGTCCTTCAAGGGCAGCAGCTGCCACCTACATTTCTGAAAGACAAAGCAAAGAGAGTGGGTGAGAGTCCTCCAGAGACAGGGCTCCTCTGTGCTGCACACTTGCTGCGTTGTCATGGCCTCGTGATGGGCTGGGCAACCTTCCATGCCTTCAAGAGTGGCTCTGCCCTGAGCCCTGCTCTGACCCGTCGCTGCAGCACAGGCTCTGGGAAGAACTAACCATCTACACCCCCTCCAGAGCTGTCTGTGCTGCTCAGCCTTCAGGCACTCAGCTGCCAGGACTCCTGGGTGGATGCACTCTCCTAACTGCTCTTAAACAAGTCCAATGCAAAGTAATCTCTCCTTCATCAATTCTTCACTTTCCTCATTATTTTAACAAGTCCTGAAGCTGCAGCTACAATGAGCTTGGCTGCCCAAGCAGGGTTTATCCACCTCTATCTGCACCAGGTGCCTACTCCAAGCCAGCCAAGTGGGCACTCTGGGACTTGCCACACAACCTGAAGCTATATGTACAAAACAGAGTGAAAAATCTCTCTCCCTACACCTCCACAGTGCTGCCAAAAATCCACGTGCACTCACATGTGAGAGCACACTCCATTTCCTGTTTGGAAACGTGGAAAACAGCAAAGAGCTCAAACACTGGCAATTTCAGTGGAGAGCCATGATAGCACCTAAAGGAGCACGAGGTCACGGCAGCAGTTGTGTCAATTCTGTGTCCACACTCACTACAAAGAGCCTCGGGAGGTTCCCATCCTGGAGGATAATTTTACAGGGGGCAGGTTGGAGGCTCCGTCTCATAATGAAATGCCAGAAGAAAACAGAACAAATCGATAAATGTAAAGCTGCCAGGACCAGAGGGTGTTTCTCAGGAATCCTCAGAGTGGTAGTAAAAAGGCAACACTGGATTTGTCAGGAAAGGAAGAAAGGATATAAAAGGGCCCATCACTATGGCAGTGCACGCATGAGTGCAGGAGCATCAGATGCCATTAGCTCAGAGGTTTCTAACAAAAGGCTCTATTTTTCCACCCAACATAATTAAACTGTGCAAGTCACAGCCCTGAGTTGCCGTGGATACCAAGGGAACTGGATACGTTCACAACAGACAGACACACCACAGCTTCTTACATCCAAAGGTAAAACCACAGATTGCTGGATGGCCAGAAGCTAAATCAGGGTTAGAATCACTGAAGCTTGCCCTGTTTTTGTTCTCTCTCCTAAGGATATGCTACTGGCCATTGTCCCTGCTGGATTCCAGCAGAAAAGATGGCTCCAAGCCTGAAAAACAACCACGGGCCTTTTGGGAAAGGAGCCAAACAGGCCCGAGGGAGGGGGAGCTAATGCTGGGTGGCTGCTGTGCCCAGCCAGGGAACGGGGCCAGCAAACCAAAACACACCTACAGATTGCCAGCACCCCTCCTGTTCCAGCCATCCCCACCCAAACACCCTGGCCAGGGCTGGCAACGAGGGGCTGTGATTTTGTGGCATTTTGGGTGGCGAGCGTGAAAAAGCGAAAGCGCTGGAGGAGAAAGCCCAAACCTCAGCAGGGGGGTCTGGAGACCACAAAGAGAGGTTTTGACCAAGCACTCCCCAGCTGTGTCACCCTTCCCCACTGAAATGGGAGGGGGTGGTGGTCGATGAAAACACACCGATTGCCACCATCCCAGGACAGATGGCAACTCCCAGGGGGCAGAGACTTCTTGTTAGTCAAGTGGAGGGAGACTTTGTAAAGAGACAGTTTTGTGGCAGAGGTTGAAGACAGGTGGGTGTTAATTTATGCAGGTGATTTGCTAAGGTGTCCTGGAAGCTCCCAAAGCAGGACCTGCAGAGAGTTCAGCACCAGGGGAGACAGTCCTGCCACAGGACCTCAGAAAAGTGCTTGTCATGAACATTAAGGCTTTAACTTGAACCACCCTCCTGGAGGAGGTGATGGGAACACAGCACAGACCTGTTTGGTGGTGCATGGGACGCCCTGACCATGACCCAGGTGTCTGCCCAGATCAGCTCCACCATGTGGGTGAAGCCTGGGATAGATCCTTCCCGTGGGTGCCCAAGCTGGACCAGCCACTGAACAGAGCTGAGGAGGTCCTGGCAGGAGAACAGCAGCTTGGAAACATCTCCCAGGTGACAACTGAGCTGGAGGTTTAAAAGCTGCCAGCTCTGCTGGAGCCTTCAGATGGCAGAGGACAGCACACATGGACTGTAAACCCTCCCCACCCCTCCGAGCCTGTGCTAAGTGTCTCCCATCCTCCCAAAATCACCTGTGAGCAGGCCATGACAACGGCCACCAGTGTCCCAGCAACAGAATAAACACATCACCAACAGAACCATTATCACACTTGACCAGGTACAGACCAAGCAGAATAATTTAAGTTCCCACTGGCTTTATGCAAAGCTCACACCACGTTCTAAATGACACCTATTGTGCTGCCACAGAGCCAGTCACATCATTTGAGTGCCTGGATGTGGGGATCAAAATGAAAATATCAGGAGGAAAGGATGAATGAGGTGGAGGAGGGACAGGGGAAGTCACACAGAAATGCCCAAGCACCAAGTCAGCTCCTGCCACTGAGGCAGGAATCAGTGTTGGAGGGAAGGCAGGGCTGTGGGGCACAGAGAGCTGCCTCCCACCCTGAGAGCCAGGGGCTTCTCAGGACATGGGTACATGGACCTCTGCAGCTCCACAAAAAAAACACAGCTTGGGGCAACTCCAAGCCAAAACTGGAAGATGTGGCCTCCAGAGGAGGAAAGGAAAGCTACAGAGCTGGCTCTAGAGCTCACCTGTAAGCAGCTCCACATCTACAAAAGCTGGCTTTTGACACCAAAGAGTGTCCAAGGAATGAGCAGGATGAAAGTTCTGTGTGTGTGTCTCTACTGATGGCAGAGAAGGCTGGCCTGGACCAGCCTCGTCATTCCCAGGTGGCCACAGCTGGGTGACATGAATTCTCACCTCTGCAAGTGGCAGTGATGAATTATTTCCAGCAGTTCAGCCCTACCCAGGGACCTCAGCAGCTGGTTCAGGCTGTGCTGGGTTTGTTCTTTCCACCACATTTGGTTCCCAGTCCTGGACCACCAAAGTGCCTGTCTGGGAGTCCCAGGAGAGACGTTGCACAGAGGGAGCAAACAGTGCCACTGCTCATCTTCAAATGCTGTGCTTGCTTAAGCAAGGTCAGCAGGAGTGTTCTTCACCCCTTTGGAGGGTGAAACATTTAGAGGAGGTTCAGCTCCACTCAGGAGCTGGTACTGTCAGAAATCCCTGCTGGAAGAACTACTGATGTTGCTTTCTGCTGAGTCTAAATCTCAGCCAGGAGCAGACTGGACTTCCAAGCTGCACAATTCCCAGTGCTAGGACATTGGAATATGCTACTAAATACAACCCTCTGTACAAACTGCTTAGAAATTCTATTCCTCATGATTTTTTTGCTGGGTAGATGACTTGATACTTCTCCTTGCAGCTCTCTCAGTTGCATGAGAGTCCCTTGCTGTACTCCTGCCTCTCTTCCTGACCTGCCCACACATACACACCAAGTGCCAAAACTCCAGCACAAGCCCAAACCCAGCAAAAACAGGATTAGCAACATCCTCTCAGAGGCAAGAAAGTGTTAAACTCTGTTCTCAGGCCTGACTGGATCAAGTTGCTAATTGCTAACAGCTGGCTGCAGGAGAATAAAATCCTGTTACAATCATTGGGAGAGTGGAAAAAAAATATAAAAAATCTCCTAGTCAAAAAACTCCCCAAGACATGCAAAAGAGGGCACTTTTCCCCAGTCAACCCAGCAGATACCATGCCTAAAAAGCCCAATCCACCTCTCCACAGAGAACCAGCTCGCTGTGACCCAGCGCTGTCCCCGGCTCTGCGGGCACAGGAGGGAGCTGTTCCTTAGTGATGTGCACGAAGAAGGTGGGACTTGGAGCTCCTCCAGGCACTGTTCTCCCTCCAGAGATCCATTACGGAGGTCTGGCATGTTTGCAAGCCCCTCCAGATCCCAAGTGAAGCAGGCATTTGTTTTAACTGGTTCCTTCGCAGATCATTACCTCGGAGCGGGACCTCGGGGTCTGCTGCAGGAATCCCACCACACACACCAAGAAACTCCCCAGGCGTGGTCAAGACACAGAGTGCATCACACACAGAGAGATCCAGGTACAACGTGGGGATCTACCCTGAAATCAAAGCATCCTCAGAAGAGGTTCAGGATCAAGAGGACTGGATGGCACCTCCTGGCATTCCTAAAGGAACTCAACGAGGAAACAGTAAAGCTGGTAATTGGGGCGGTATCTGATGCCTGAAGAAATAGGAGGCTGGAAAGTGTGATTTCCTATTTGCTGGCTCCAAAATGAGGGCAGAACATTTCTCTTTGCCTCAGAGTTCATCTGAGAGACCCCAACCCCAGCAATTCTTCCTCTGGAGCACACACAGCCCACGCAGCTCCGGTTTGGACCGGAGAATTTGCCGATGAAAACGCTCAGCAGAAAGAATTCTGATCACTCCTTAAAGCGTTCTGCTTAGTTTAAAATTCAAATACTGACACAAGGCTGGAAAAAAGAAGGCAACAAGTTTTCCCTCAGGTGAACTCAGAGTGTGGTCTCTCTGCCCACATTCAATCAACTGCACAAGGGGGAAAGGTCTCCGTGTGACACGTGGGTGGCGTCTGGACAAACCAAGTGCCAAAAGTCACACACCAAAAATCAACACACCAGGGGCTGCAAGATCCTGGCATGAAGTGCAAGGCTGCAGCAGGAGGTTTTGGATATGGGTACCAGAGAGGAAAAAGCCATTGCAATGTCAGGAACATGATAAGGGGACAGGGCAGAAACAGCGACACCACAAAGTGACATCCAGAGCAGCAAAAAGGCTGGACAGATAAAACCAGGCAGGTTTGGGGTGAAAGGGTTGGGTTAATCAAGGTGCATGTGAGAAGTAAGTCACAGGAACAGGAAAAGGGAGACAGGAATAGGCTCCAGTGTCATCTTTGAGGTGGCATTAGGAGACCTGCCACCACAGGAGACAGGAAAGAACAACATGTGGGGCTAAAAGGACAA